GGCCTAGACCCTTCTTCAGAAGAAGGGTCTAGGCCCGAAATGTCAGCTTTCCTGCTCCTCTGATGCTGCTTGGCCTGCTGTGTTCATCCAGCTCTTCACTTTGTTATCTTTGATCATTGACCCTTGTTTGAATTACAGTGAGGAACTGCGAGAGGGAGGATGGAGAAAAGACATGCGGATTTATGGACCCTGCTCAAAATATATCCACTCCTGGCCCCTCATTCTACCTCCATAAGGACTCCAATCATCGCTTTTCTCCCAATGGCTGAGTCTTCCCCAGCACAAGTGCATTCAATAGTAGATCCCTTGTGGACTTTGAAATCCAAAGAACATCAATATCTAAGCCATCAAAGCAGGGGACGGAGTGGGCACCATATCCCCAGCTCAGCATAGGCAACAGGGCTTTTACCACAGAGAATGTGCTCAATTCTGATTTCCCTTCTATAGGAAGGATGTCGTTAAACTTCAGAGGGTGCAGGAGAGATTTACAAAGGATGTTGCTAGGACAGGGAAGTGGAGGGTTTGAGCTATAGGGACAGGCTGAATAAGCTGGGCCTATTTTCCCTGGAGCATTGGAGGCTGAGGGGTGACCTGATAAAATCATGAGGGATATGGATAGGATGATTAGCTAAGGTTTTTTTTTTCTTATAGTGGAGCCCAAAACTGGAGGGCATAAGTTTAAAGTGAGAGGGGAAAGATTTAAAAAGAAGGAAGTGGTAGACGCCAGTACAATTGCAACATTTAAAAGGCATCTGGATAGGTATGTGAATCAGAAGGGTTTGGAGGGATATGGACCAAATGCTGGCAAATGGGACTAGGTCAGATTGGGATGCCTGGTCAGTATGGATGAGTTAGACCGAAGGGTCTGTTTCTGTGTTGTATGACTCTATGACTCTATAATAGATAAAGGGGATAAAAAATGATTTGCAGAGGCACGAGTTCACGGTGGTGTTTAGGATTATTTTCAATAAGATACACGAATGTTCAGTGTTCATCAACTCTAAACATTATCGAAAAGCTGCATTTACTTGTCCTCACCATTGTTACCTGTTGCACACAATCTTCCATCTTGTGAAAAATGCGATGATGACAGTTAAAACTAAGCAGTAGATGTTTGTGGGTTGGATTGTTGATTGTGAGACTGCTTGGTGCCTGGGGGCTTGTGTTACTGGGTGACTGTGCTGGTAGTTACACTGTGGTTCCATTTGATTGTGTGTCAGATAAGGAGCTCCAACTCTGACGTGAGGGCTCATGGTTTGTGAAGTGCATATCAAAGGTCAAAACTCCGAGATTGTCAAAATGATCTGCAAAGCCTTGGAAACCACCTCCAAAGCAGTGAAAGCCTGCACTCAGGACAAGTCCCGTCAATCAAAAACCTTTCACCTAGGCGAAGAAGAACTGCCATGTCTCAGTCTTTGAAAGCATTCTTACCGATCAGCTTTTCCTCACCGTCAAACCAACTATTCTCTAGTATTGCCTTATCTGACCAATTCCAGAACTCGAAGAAACCTAGTAAAATTGACTTGTTTTTAACTGTCATAGAGTCAATGGATTGAAGAGTCTTTTTCAGTGCTGTACACCTCTCTGACTCTATATGCTGAGGTAGAATCCAGGGTTAAGACTCAACTCACTTGCCTTTTCTCATGATCAATTGTCGGATTCCCCTGGCCCACGGGGGCTTCCTGTGCACTGATGGACTCATTCTCAGGTTCCAGTGAACTTCCAAACCTGCTGGCATTGAAATGACTCCACAGGGGCCAATATCCCATCACCAAGTCAACCTATATTTGAATTTGTTAGTTGGTTTACCAAGCTGACTGGTTTTTATGCAAACGTTTCGTCTCCCTTCTAGGTGACATTGTCAGCGTTGTCTCGCCTTCATTGAAGCCGTTGATGGCTTCCACAGAGGCTAAACAGCACTGACGATGTCACCTAGAGGGGAAACAAAACATTTGCATGTAAACCAGTCAGCTCGGCGAACCAACGACCAACTCCATTCACAACCCGAGCTTACAGATCTTCATTACAACATTAAACACCCCTTATTTAACACGTGGAGAGTCCTTGACATTGATCCATCTCCCTGAGAGTCAGCTCGCAGAGTGAACAGACCCTCTGACCCTCCTGTTTGTATCTGTCAGCCAGGGCTCCTTGATTGGACCAGATTAACTGCCCCAATCAGGGAACTCATATTCTATGAGCTCCCCCTGGTTAACCATGTTACAATCACTACAGGCATATTTTACTCAATTAATCTGTTACCCCAATGCCCACTCTGACAAACTGAAAGTCTTTGTTTTGCATCCTCCTCAAAGTTTATTTTCCTACCTAGCTTTATGTTGTTTCCTACCTTGCATGCATACTGACTACCTTCATTGAAGTTATTAATATAGTTTGTAAATAGTCAAGGACCTAGTTCTGATCTTTGCAGCACCTGATTCGTACCAACCTGCCAATGTGAAGATGCCCTGTTTAATTCTGTTTCATGACTTTTGATCTTTTGCTAATCCTTTATTCACATTAATGCATTACAAATATGAGCCCACAGTTTATGCAATAACTTTTTATGTTATATCAGTATTAGATGACCATTACCCTTTCATTTATCTTCTTGAATAAACCTCAAAAAATTCTTAACAGATTTGTCAAACAGATTTTCCCTTTCATAAAATCTCGTTTGCTCTCCTTGATTATATTCTAATGTTCCAATGTCCTGCTACCCATGACCTTAATAATAGATTTCAATATTTTCCAGACAACTGATGGCAGGATAACTAGCCTGCAGTTCCCATGTTGTCTCTCCCTCCTTTATTTACATGTGCTACCTTTCACTCCATTAGGGATTGTAGAAGATTATAGTATCCATTATCTACAGAGGTAGCTGTTTCAGATGATCACAGTTGTGGAGGTAGAAGACCTGCTAAAGTTGCCTCATTTAAGTGATGAGGATAAATCAGCAAATGTACCTGCTGCACTTTGCAATCCAGTTAGCCCCACTGGATAGTGAATGGAATGATTTCGCTAAACCTGGCTGCTGGATTTCACCATTGTTTTGTTTTCCCAATTGACAATCCGATTTAATAAGATTGATTAATCTGATTCAGTGAATTAGGTTACTCCCAGCATGTTAACATCAGACAGCACCAGTATTGGGGTCAACTGCAATATACCTATGGTTGGGATACTGAACTGGTAAGACCTATTCTCAAGGTCTGCATGTGTAGGCTTCTTAGTGCTGTCAAGTAAAGGAAAGTTACCGACATTGTATGTGATTATATTACACCAGAAGTCAGATACATTAGGGCTGAGGTGAGGCAGTGGCTTGTAGGAGACTGGAGGTGAAAAAAAAACACGAGTTAAAAAAGAAAGGGAAAAGCTGAAAGTGTGAATGAATGTTGCGTTTTGATCCCTCCGTAGGTTTCATCATTGACAGCGTCACCACAGCGTTTCAAACTGTCTTTCCTAAATGTTGATATCTAATACCATTATGCACCTCTTGCACTCATCCAAAACATCAATTATCCAACTGTAATGGTCCAGTGAAGAAGCAACCAGCTGGTTTCTATTTGCAGAAGAACCTCACAATATCAAAATGTTCGAGAGAATGCACTCCTCGTGATGTGAGTGCCAAAGATATTTTAAACTAAAAATGGATCATATCAAATGATGCGGCAACTTCAAATTCTGTATGTCATTTACATAAACGATTTGGATGTGAATATAGGAGGTATGGTTAGTAAGTTTGCAGATGACACCAAATATGATAGTGTAGGGGACAGTGAAGGTTATCTCAGAGTACAACAGGACCTTGACCAGATGGGCTGAGGAGTGGCAGACGGAGTTTAATTTAGATAACTGTGAGGTGTTGCATTTTGTTAAGGCAGGACATATACACATAAAAGTAAGGTCCTGGGGCGTGTTGCTGAATAAAGACGCCTTGGTGTGCAAGTTCATAATTCCTTGAAAGTGGAGTCACAGGTAGACAGGGTGGTGAAGAAGGCATTTGGTACACTTGCCTTTATTGGTCAGTGCATTGAGTATAAGAGTTGGGAGGTCACGTTGTGGCTGTACAGGACATTGGTTAGGCCACTTTTAGAATACTGTGTTCAATTCTGGCCTCCTAGCTATAGGAACAATGTTGTGAAATTTGAAAGGGTTCAAAAAATATTTAGAAAGACTTTGCCAGGTTTGGAGGGTTTGAACAGAGAGACAGGCTGAATAAGGTGGGGCTATTTTCCCTGGATTGTTGGAGGCTGAGGGGTGACCTTATAGAAGATTATGCAATCATGAGGGGCATTGAAAGGGTGAATAGCAAAGGGTTTTTTTTCCAGCGTAAGGGAGTCTAAAACTGGAGAGAGAGGTGAGAGGGGAAAGATTTAAAAGGGACATAAGGGGCAACTTTTTCACACAGAGGATGGTATGTGTATGGAATGAGCTGCCAGAGCAAGTGCTAGATGCTGGTACAATTACAATGTTTAAAAGGCAGCTGGATCAGTACATGAACAGGAAAGGGTTAGAGGGATATGGACCAAATGCTGGCAAATGAGACTAGATTAATTTAGGATATCTGGTCATCATGGATGAGTTGGACCGAAGGGTCTGTTTCCATGCTGTTTAACTCAATGACTCCATGACCCTCTAGGTTGTACAACGGAAAATCCTCTCAATTCCAGTTTGCACCAGCAGATGCATCTGATACATTTCATTCAAAATGTACATTTTGGATCTAAATAACATCATATCTTGCCTGGATAATTGGTGGGACTGCATTTGTCATATCGTGCTAAAGCCTGGGCTCTCCACTTTCAAAATGCCTTTTACAGGTTGGCGAAGAATCAGAGTGGAACTGGGGCCCTAAGTTTGAAGGAGATATTCTGATCTCTCACATTCTAACCTCCACAAACATGAGGACATCCAAAGCTCAGCAACAAGTTTCCCTATTACCCCTCTGTTTGCAGACCAACAATGTTCCCCAGGCAAGCAACGTTTCATTTTAACTTTTTCATCCTTGTTTTCAAATTGTCTCATGCCCTTGTTACTCTTGCCCCTGTAATCTCCTACTGCTTTACAACATGGTTACGCTATATGGCCTCTTGTGCATTCCCAGTTATAACTGTTCCACCACTGGTGTCTAGATCCTAAACTCTGGAATTCCCTTTCTTTACCCTCCATCACGATACCTCACTTTCCTTCTTTAAGACACATCCTGAAATCTACCTCTATCGTCAATCTTTTAGTTCACTGATATTACATTTATTCATCGTTAGTGTCTTATCTTGGGCTTTTTTCCTTATTAAAGTGCTTTATTTGCCATTTTAAATCGGTTTCACTCGATTTAAAAAAATACCCTTCCATTTATACAGTGACTTTAATGTAAAAGTAATCCCAGGCCAGATTGAAGAGATGTAATCAAATAACAACCTTCAAAGTTAAAAAAAAAGATTCTTGGTCAAAGCAGTGGATTTTCAAACGAAGTATTTAGGATTTGAGGCAATGGGGAATTGGGAGGCAACATAAGTCACCGAGCACAGAGGTAATGGATAAATGAAATGTGGTGCCGGTTACTTGTTATGGGCAGCAAATATTTGGATGAGCCGAAATTTGTGAATGCTGGAAAATGCATGGCACACCAGGGGAGCATTGTAGCTCACAAAGGCTGATGAACAGACTAAAAATAATTTTGGCAGCATATGGGCTGTGACAGAGAGAGAGAGAGGTGGACAATATTTGAGAAATCTTTCACAGACTTGGACATGACTGGCAAAGCCAGAATTTGTTCTCTATTCCCAATTGCCCTCAAGAAGGTGGAGCTGAGCAGAGTCGAGGAATGCAGTCGTTGTGGGGAAGAGAAAACGGGCTTGGTGACTTAGAATAGCATTAAATAAAATTCTAAGGTTGTAAACAATCTGGATTGACACGGAAGTACCAAAGAAATATAATTGATGTTGAGGCGACAGGGTTTGGGACAGAAGTCAAAGATTTCCAATGCTTAAGCCATCCAGGACTAGATCTCAAGCAAACATTCTGACAGTGCTGAAGTGGAGAGAAAATGGAATTTGGTATCATCTGTGTTCATGTGGAACCTGACATCATGTATCCAGATCATGTCCCCATATATGGTAACATAATTTTGCACCTAAGATTTTGTACTTCGGTACCTTTGTACCTAGGGTGGTACTGGGACTGGTGACTTTGTACACTTTTCTCTGTATGTCTGTACTTGAGTACATGATATGATAAACCTAGTTCTTATTCTAATACAGCCCCATTTGGCTGATCACCGTATTGCGGGCTATAAAGCTTGAGTGAAGCATCCTGAGATGTTTCATTACAACCAGGCACCATATTAATGTAAGTTGTTCCTTGAGCTAAACTTGTTTCAACCTGGGGAAAGACTTGATGGTGCTGTTTTAAAATCCTGAGAGACGCTGAAGCTGTATGTACAATTATTCAATTTTTTTTAGCAAGTGCACATTTGGAGCAGAAAGGTTTAAAATTAATAATCCTGAGACAGCAAATTAACAAAACTTCTCTCCTGAAGAAATAGAGATAATCAAGGTTTTTAAGAAGATTTGTAGCTTGGGTTGTTGACGCAAAAAGCGATAATATTGAAGTGACTCCAAGTGAGGATTATGTCAGTGTATTTGTTAGTGGATAAATCTGTTTGGTAAAAGGATTGTTAATTTTAAACTTAAGTATAACTGATGTGGGTGACAATACAGAAACTAGGTGGCACGGCAGCTCAGTGGTTAGCACTGCTGCCTCACAA